GTTGGACAGTGATAGACAATTGTAAGGGCTAGATTAAGTAACAGATGAAGAGAATATAAGAAAATGTTAAGTGAATGAGAGACACATAAATAATGTGATGACTGAAAATGACAGACATAAAGAGGCAGCTGGTAAAAGACCTTATTTGGAGACGGCGCATTCCAGTTTTCCAATTTGGAATTTTTTACAGCTGGTCATCATGCACCCATGTCCTATTTGGGACATTTTTGACGCCGGCCAAGGTAATTTACCCACATCAAACTATATATTTTTGAAAAGTAGACACCCTAGGGTATTTCAATGGTGGTATTTTAACACTTTCCATGCAATAATTCTACCACCAGTCTTTGTCAAACTTTTGGGTAGTCATTTTTTTGTGTCAGTTTTCTCTCACATTGTACTTTAGGCATGGATTCTCAGTTCCTGTTATGTGTTACTGACAAAGAATACCCCAATATGTGTTCAGCAACATTTTCTGACTACAACAGTGCCCCCAATGTACAGGTTTTATGTTTTTTTTGCAAACTTACAGGGATCAAATGTAGGTCTTTCCCCTTTTCCATGTTTGCACATTGAAATTTGCCAAATTGGTTTGCTGGGCCTATGTTACACTTGAGAACATATGGCATATTTGTTTTTTTTTTGCATTTTTCACACATAAACTGCCATTTCACCAATAATATTATCAGTATAATACATTTTGCTGCTCTAAAAAACAACAACTCATATTCGTGTAGAGTGTCTCACGAGTACAACAGTACCCCTAAAGTACAGGTTTTATTGTGATTTGGAAAGTTACACGGTCAAACAGAAGATTTGCCAATTTCTGTTTTTGTAAATTGCTATTTGCCAGATTGGCTATGTTGCCTTTGAGACAGTATGGCAGCCCAGAATGAAAATTAACCCCACCATGACATACCATTTGAAAAAGTAGACAAGCCAGGGTATTCAAAATGGAGCATGTCCAGTCGTTTGTAGTAGCCACTTAGCCACAAACGCTTACCAAAATTTAATTTTTTTGCATTTTCTTACACAAAAGCTGCACTTTTACTGGTGATTTAATTGTTGTGATAAGTTTTACTGTTTTAAACAGTCATATTTGTGTTCAGCGAAGTCTCCAGAGTAGAACAATACCCCCCATGTAAAGGTTTTATGGTGTTTTGGAAAGTTACGGGATTAAATATAGGGCTTGCAATTAAATTCTCTGGACTGTCTGCCTGGGTTGTCAGGCAGGTCCCTCAAATTATAATTAATAAAATATATATGTAGAATGTTTGTGTATAATATATATAAATGAAATGTGTTTTTTTAATATATATATACACACACACATAATACATGTGTATGTATATAATAAAGTAGCGTAGAGATAGCACTCCCAGGACTCAAAAGGTATTTAAAGTAAAACTTAACTTTTAATGTCCACAGTTAAGAGATCGGCGTTTCAGCTTGTAACCCAAACTTTCAGTATATATATATATATATATATATATATATATATATATATATATATACACACACACACACACACACACACACACACATATACATACACACATACATATACACACACAAACATTACATAGTTACATGGTTACATAGCTGAAAAGAGACTTGCGTCCATCAAGTTCAGCCTTCCTCACATTTGTTTTTTGCTGTTGATTCAAAAGAAGGCAAAAAAAAAACCCAGTTTGAAGCACTTCCAATTTTGCAACAAGCTAGGAAAAAAATTCCTTCTTGACCCCAGAATGGCAGTCAGATTTATCCTTGGATCAAGCAGTTATTAACCTACATTGAAAGATTATATCCTTAAATATTCTGTTTTTGCAAGTATGCATTTAGTAGCTGTTTGAGCATATGTATGGACTCTGATAAAACCACTTCTTCAGGCAAGAATTCCACATCCTTATTACAGTAAAAAATCCTTTCCTTTGCCTTAGACAAAATCTTCTTTCTTCCAGTCAAAACGCATGACCTTGTGTCCTATGTAAAGTCTGGTTTGTGAATAGATTTCCACACAATGGTTTGTATTGGCCCCGAATATTTGTATAATGTTATCATATCCCCTCTCAGGTGATGTTTTTCTAAACTAAATAGGTTTAAATTTGTTAACCTTTCTTCATAGCTGATATGTTCCATTCCTTTTATTAATGTTGTAGCCCGCCTCTGCACTTTTTCTAGTGCCATAATATCCTTCTTTAGAACAGGTGCCCAAAATTGCACAGCATATTCAATATGTGGTCTTACCAGTGATTTATAAAGAAGCACAATTATATTCTCGTCTCGAGAATGAATGCACTTTTTCATGCATGACAATACCTTACTGGCCCTGGCCAGTGCTGATTGACATTGCAATTTGTTGTATAGTTTGTTGTCTATAACAACTCCCAAGTCCTTTTCGTGTGTTGTTATCCCTAATTCGCTTCCATTAAGGGTATACGTTGATTGTGTATTCTTTATGCCGAAGTGCATAACTTTGCATTTTTCAACATTAAATTTCATCTGCCATTTGAGTGCCCAGTCCCCCAGTCTATCTAAATCCCTCTGCAGCAAAGTAATATCTTGCTCACATTGTATAATGCATATATATGATTTCTTTATAAGTGTATTTTGATATATATCTGTATGAATGAAATCATGTGAATGAATGAAATCATATACCGTATATACTCGAGTATAAGACAAGTTTTTTGGCACATTTTTTTTGTGCTCAAAAAGCCTCCTCGTCTTATACTCGAGTCAAGGTCTGTATTATGGTAAATTACATTGCCATAATACAGACCTTGACATGTTGGGGGCCGGAGCAAGCTGTTACTTACCTTTACAGCTGCTCCGGTCAGCTCCCAGCACCTCCGCGCGGCTCCTCTGTGCTGCTCCCAGTGTAAATCTCGCGAGACATGCGGGCCGCGAGATTTACACTGGGAGAAGACAGCATGTAGGTAGGACGGAAATTGTTAATAGCCGTCCCCCTGCACAGCATCCCCCTGCCCCTGAAAAGCCCCTGCACAGACCCCCCTGCCCCTGCAAAGCCCCCCTGCCCCTGCACAGACCCCCTGCCCTGCACAGACCCCCTGCTCCTGCAAGCCCCTGCCCCTGCACAGACCCCCTGTTCCTGCAAAGCCCCTACCCCTGCACAGACCCCCTGCTCTGCAAAGCCCCCTGCCTGCACAGACTCCCCTGCCAACCCCCTGCCCCTGCACAGACCCCCTGCACGAGCCCCTCTGCCCAGACCCCCTGCCCCTGCCCAGACCCCCCTGCCTGCACAGACCCCCCTGCCCGACAAAAAAAGTAAAAAAAAAAAAAAATACCCAGTTGATGGGAGTCTGACTCCCTTTTCTAACACCCTGTATATAATGCAGAGTGTTTGCATTTTATATACACACACACTCTGCATTAAATACAGGGAGTCAGACTCCCATCAACCTGAGTCACCCTCTAAAATGCAGAGTGTGTGTATATAATGTAGAGTGTGTGCATTATATGCACACACGCTGCATTTTAGGTGCAAGAGGGTGACTCGGGTTGATGGGAGTCTGACTCCCTGTATTTAATGCAGAGTGTGTGCATTATTTACACACACACTGTGTATATAATGCAGAGTGTGTGTGTATATAATGCACACACTGCATTATATACAGGGAGTCAGAAATTGGAGTCAGACTCCCATCAACCTGAGTCACCCTTTTGCACCTAAAAGGTAGGCAACAGGAGGGTGACTTAAATATTATCTACAGTATTTTTAATATTAAGTGTGTGTGTATGTGAGTGTTTGTATGTATGTATGTGTCTGTCTGTAATATGTATGTGTGCCTGTCTGTTTGTATGTGTCTTTGTATGTATGGCTTGTGTGTGTCTGACTGTGTCTATTTGTATGTACGGTATGTGTCTTTGTATGTGTGTGTGTGTGTGTGTCCGTATGTATGTGTGCCTGTCTGTCTGTGTGTGTCTCTGTATGTATGGGTGGGTGTGTCTCTGTATGTATGTGTGTGTGTTATTGTCTGTCGGGAGGTAAGAAGGAGAGAGGGAGGGACCAGAGGTCCCACTTACCGGTTCTCCGGTGCAGTGCAGGTGTTCTCCGGTCTCTCCCACTCATCCTCTGCAGCCTCTGTGGGTGGTCCAATGACTGTTGATATCACCGCTCTTCTTTTCTCCTGCACGCCGGGCGTAACGCAGCGCATGCAGTAACACTGCGTGTATAGTATGAGCCCCAACACAGGCTGCTCTATGCAAACATAGTTGGCATTCTTTTTCAAGGTCTTTTTTTTTATCCTGTTAGGAATGGATCCCAATACTTCTAATCCCGGACTAAAACAAAAACGCAGGTCATACGAAGCTGGTTTCAAGCTCAAGGTTGTGTCAAGAGCAGAAGAAAGCAATAACAGTATTGCAAGTAGGGAATTTTGTGTTGGTGAAAAACAAGTCAGGGAGTGGAGGAAAATGAAAGCTGACTTGGAAAAGATTCCAAAGGCAAAAAAAGCTCGACGTGGTTTAACGACTTCATATGGGGCTCTAGAGACTGAATTGCATAAATGGGTTATGGAGTGTCGGCAAAATGGTTACTGTGTAACACGCATGGGAATTCGCTTACGTGCCCTTCAAATGGCTAAAGATGAAAAATTAAAAGCACCAGGCATTGAAAATTTTGTTGCATCAGCAGGATGGTGTACCCGCTTCATGAATTGGTTTTCCCTATGTTTGCGGCAAAGAACAAAGATTTCACAGAAGTTGCCAAAAGACCTTGATGAAAAATTGATGTCATTCCATTCATTCATCATTAAACAAAGAAGGATCCATAACTATGACCTGGGAGATATTGGTAATATGGATGAAACACCTATGACCTTTGATCTTCCAAGCAACAGAACTGTGGCAAGTTTCGGAGACAAAACTATTTTACTCAGAACCACAGGAAATGAAAAAAACCATTTCACAGTCGTTCTGTCATGTTTGGCTAATGGAACTAAGCTATGGCCTGTCATTATTTTTAAAAGAAAGACCTTGCCTAAAAAGGTAAAATTCCCACCACGAATTACAGTGCGCGCACATGTTAAAGGCTGGATGGATGAAGACGAAACAAAAAAATGGCTGGAAGAAATTTGGAACAGACGACCAGGAGCAGCCTTAAAGAAAAAACCATCATTGCTAGTTTGGGATATGTTCAGAGCCCACACATCTGATGACATAAAAAAATTGGCAAAGTCTTCTCAAGTTACTTTGGCCGTTATTCCAGGTGGGCTTACATCTGTATTGCAGCCCCTAGATGTGTGTTTAAATAAACCTTTCAAAGACCGTGTGCGAAAGAAGTGGCATGAATGGATGTCATCTGGTCAACCCCGACTGACAAAAGTTGGAAATCTGATGAAGCCCGACATAGAATTGATAGCAAAATGGGTTCGTGATGCATGGGAAGAGATTCCAGAGGACATGGTGCAACGCGCCTTCAAGAAATGTGGCATTAGTTATGCTATGGATGGCAGAGAAGACAGCGCTTTGTATGAGGACAGCAGTGATGGTGATGACTGCGAACTCAGTTATGATGACAATGTCTACGCTGATAACCTCACACCAGCTACAGTTGAAGCTCTGCTTGGACATACAGATGATGAGGAATCCAGTTTTGAAGGATTTTAACTCCTTAAGCTGTTTTAGCTTAGTTGTTTTTTGTACTATTTAAGTTATTGTTGATACCATATTGTTTTTGCTGACCCTCTTTTTCCCCTTATAGAGCTAGTTTACTGTTTGTCTTTGAAATAAATATTCAAAAACCTTTAACCTACTGATGCCTCAATTAATGTAATTTTATTGGTATCTATTTTTATTTTTGAAATTTACCAGTAGCTACTGCATTTCCCACCCTAGTCTTATACTCGAGTCAATCATTTTTTCCATTTTTTTGTGGTAAAACTAGGGGCCTCGGCTTATATTCGGGTCGGCTTATACTCGAGTATATACGGTATATGCATTATATATAATATATTAAATGCTTTAATTATTTTATAATATATTATACATATATAATTTATGTAGAATATATATATATATATATTTTTATTATTATTATTATTACTTTTTAGCAGCCTGGGGGACTGCCTGACAGCTCAGACAGTCCCCCTGCTGGCAGCTCCCTAGACTCCTGGAGGGCCAGGATGGCTTGAGCTGCTGCAGGGGGACTGCTGGTGTATCCGGCAGTCCCCCCCGACCGGGATTGCCGCGGATCGCTGGTCCAGCTACTAGGTACGTCCGCGGTCCTTAACAACCGTTTTTTGGCGGATGTACCTAGTACGTCCACAGTACTTAAGGGGATATATGTATTTATAACGTCATTGTAAATGTATTTTGATTAAATATATATGTATGTATATATGTATATACAGTTAGAACAAATTTAAACCATTTTATAATTTTTTTAAAATAAATTTTATTCATTTTTTTACATTTATTATTAATTTTATATATATATAAAATTTTAATTATCTCTAATTAAAGTCATTCTAAGTGTATTTTTATATATATATATATATATATATTTATTAAAATACACTTTTAATAATGGTGTATGTGTGTTTATGTGCATGTAAAAGTACTTAAATCATATATTTATATGATCTAAGTACTTTTTATGTACCTTATAAACTTTTATTTAACTTTTTTTAACTTTAAAAAAAAAAAACTTTTTTCCCAGGCACTAGGGGGCCTGCTTGAGAGCTCAGGCAGGCCTCCTGCAGGCACTGCACAAGCCGGCTATTCCGGCCATGTAATCGCGAGGCTGGATCGGGCAGTGGGGGTCTGACTGAGCTCCCAGGCAGACCCCAGGATCGCGATCGCCGGTGGGGGTTCGCCAGTGATCAGGTAAGTGCCTATTTACTAGATGACGTACCAGGTACATCCGCTGTCTTTAACAACCGTTTTTTGGCGGACGTACCTGGTACGTCATTGGTTGGGAAGGGGTTAAAGTTCAATTTACAGAGCAGGAGATAAAAATTTTAAAGTAAGCTACATGTGATTGAAAATGAAACCATTTTGTTTTCATGTAGGCTGTGTCAGTCACAGCCTCCGCATTGCAAGAAATATTTGTGCACAGTAGTTGTGAAGGTTTTATCCACAAAGCCAAATCAATATCAATAAAAATTTATATATTTTTTAAAGGGTTCAATATATCTATCCATTACATTGCGTTCAACATTTTTGCAAGTTAGCAAATAGAAAATTAGAATTGTAGTTAACAAGTTAATCTTAAAGAGGCATTGTGTTATTCTTATCAGGGCCATTTGAAGGAATTTGGGGGCCCCAAGCAAAATGGACATGGAGACCCCCCCAACCCTCCCCACCACGCACGCAAAGCCTACAGGTACCACAGCATAGCCATACAGGTTAAGTTCACCCACACTTTATATAAATAAAAAAGGTTTACAGTGCAAATACTGCTGTTGCATATACTGTGCATAAATAAAAAATGTTTACAGTGCAAATACTGCTGTTGCATATAATGTGCATAAAATTTTAACATTTTCAACAACTGAACATTTGCAAAAAAACACCACTGTACCATAAAATCAAATATACATTAAAAAAGTGCACAATAACCAAATCCAACATACTTAAAACACACACACACACACACTCACATTAACATTTTTCTCACAAATGTGCAAATGATCTAAAACTGCTCCCCGTGTCCTTCTTACTCCCCTCCCCGTGTCCTTCTTACTCCCCACCCCCTGTCCTTCTTACTCCCCCCTCCCCCTCCCTGTGTCATTCTTACTCCCCTCTCCCCATGTCCTTCTTACTCCCCCCTCCCCATGTTCTTTTTACTCCCATCTTCCCATGTTCTTTTTACTCCCCTCTCCCCATGTTTTTTTACTCCCCACTCCCCATGTTTTTTTACCCCATCACTCCCTGTGTTCTTTTTACTCCCCCATGTTCTTCTCAGTTCTCACCTCCCCTTCCCTGCAGCGTGGCTGAGCTCCTCTTCCTCCTGGCTGTCAGGTACCGCGCGGTAACAGGAGATTCAGTTTCCTGTTCCTGGGCTGGACTGAAAGGAAGTGAGCACTCAGTGTGCACTTCCTGTCAGTCCGGCCAGGAACAGGAAACTGAATCTCCTGTACCGCGCGGTACCCGGCCGGACTGACAGCCAGGAGGAAGAGGAGCTCAGCCACGCTACAGGGAAGGGGAGGACGGAGGTGACGAGAGAGGAGTGCTGCAGCCACCTGAGGCTTTCTATAGAGCGCTCAGGCGGCTGCAGCCTTATAGGAAGCACCGGCTCTGCTTGGGGCCCCCGGGCCAGCTCAGGGCCCCAAGCAATTGCTTGGTTTGCCTGCCCGGTAGCGACGGGCCTGATTCTTATCCACATAAAATAAACATTTACATCTTCTGGAACCACAAATAAAGATTCCAAATTAGGTGAACCACATAAGTCTAGTATTTTTAGATAGCTCTAAAATGGTTCAGAGAGAACAGAAAATCCAGTGACTTTCTCATAACACTATTCACTTCTTGTGTCCAAATGTAATCATAAATAGGATCAAGTCTCAATATATGTGTTTGTTAAACAATGTAATTACATGATTTTGCTATTTCATGATGAAAAGTCCTGATTTTATGAAAGACACGGAGGCACATATTGCTTAACCCTTTCTTTACTGTCCACCAATAGCAGCAAAGAACACAAATAGAACATATACAGTAAGACACCAAACAATCCCCATCCAAGTCCCAGTATAACAGCAAGCACCGCCTCTAAACCTTCCTCTTTCTTTGAAGATGCAACACATCACAAGGAGAAACAGAAAACAGGAACAAATGGAAAATTCTAACATCTGGAAAACACGGTAACCAAGTGTAACAGCACCCCCAGGCATAAAAGGGGTTAAACGCCGTTTAGAGGATATTCCCTTCCAGATATACAGGCAGCTACTGTAGACACCAATCCACCGAACCGGACCAGCATTGGAATGCCGTAAACAGCCGAACCGGAACCATACGAACGCTGTAAAAAGCCGAATAGGAAAAACCATACAAAAGGTTTACACTCCTAGCAGTTGAACTGCTGTGGGTTTATTGTTCTTATATACACATTCTTACACATTAGTACCCACAGGGTTTTGGAAAACAACCAATAAACACGTATAATACACTCAGACACTCCTACACAAAATCCTCCCCTCTGCCTGTGATACAATTACCTTACACAATGGGTAATGTAATTATCACAGGCAGAGAAATACAGTTTTTCAACATTATTCATAATTTTAAAAGTATGCATCATATTCACATAAAACTTTCAGAATCACCATACTCCAAATACAAACATATGTCAAAATCATACAAATTGGTCCAGTGGTTCAAAAGATAGATCGTAATCCTTTGTGACCAAATGAAGCATGGCTTTTCTGCCCAAAACCAGTTCCACAGAGTCTTCTATCCTGGAAATAATTGGGAAGTAATCCAATTATCTCCAAGGACAGAGGCAAACCTCCATTGAACACATGGCAGCAAAAGACAATAAAATACATAAAAATATATAACTGTGCAGCCATTGCATAAAACAGGTACATTTAACACATCCCCAGATAGCTCAGATCTGAGCGCACATTATTACGGAATGGCACTCAGATCACACACATACAGTTCAATTGCCATGGAGCCAAAGTCTTTCATTATATGAATGGGCTCCATGGCATAGCTATCTGGGGTATCACCGCTCAAACAGGGCAAACACCGAATGACCTGGCTTTCGTGTCTTTGCAGGGGAAAAATCAAGAGTTTCAACATGGGGCTATAGTCTAAAGGCAGCAGGCGGGCAACCAGGCTCCTCCGATGCACAGTGGCCAGATTGGTCTCGTCACATCTCTCCCCTTTTCCAAACAGACTAACAGGGTATCTGACCTCCTGCCGGTCAGTGCCCTGGTTAGTCCAGCAACCCACCCATAAAACACAATTAGTAGTACAGCCCACCCACAATAAATGGTTACTACACCTGAGTATGGGGAAAAGTTGTCTATGTCCAGCTGTGTGGGGGACTGGTACGCTGAATTGGTGGGTTGCGAGGTGGGCAGAGACCAGCTGTACTCTGCCCTGATGCCAACACTACCACGGAAGTAGCCTGGTGGGAGCCTGGTTGCTGGAGGGGGAGACCGACTGTCTCTCCTTTGGATACATAGCTGTGCTGCTGGAGGGGGAGACTGATCGTCTCACCTTTGGACAAAGCACCATGCTGCTGTGGGGGGAGACCGACTGTCTCCCCTTTGGCTAAACAGC